GTAATTTACTAGAGGATAGTTTTGTCTAAGACTGAACAATGATTGGACCGTTTTGTCTTTATTTAAACACAATTCATTGGCAATACACCATTCGTTTGCCGCGGTCAGCAGTCGATCTGTGGAGGATATCACTTCCTCAAACTCAACATCCGTTACCAGCAGCGTCGCGTCATCCGCATACAACAAACAGTTTACATTATCACTCAAATACCTAGGAAAATCGTTAAAGAAAAGAATAAACAAGAGAGGTCCCAATATTGATCCCCGAGGGAGGCCTCTCGTGACACGAACTTGATTGTCTTCTAAATCTGCGATCCATTTTTCAACAGGTTAGTTCGAATTATCACCAAACGTTGGTAAACCACTACGTAAATCGTTAATATTGAAACCAGTTCTTGATGCAGCCTGTTTTCTTTGTAACAACAAATTTTCTTTTCTTAATACTTCCATTTCTGTCTGTATCAGAATAATAATTATTCTGCCAAAATTATATTTTTTTAGTATCTGATTTTTCACTAGCCTGTACCAACTGACAAGCATCCTACATTCACATTTTGTTTGCCGAAAGGTCCTACGGCATTTCCGTTGTATTCTCTTTTTCTATTTTTGTGTTTAAATCTCCTATTAGGTAGTGATGATTTTCTTGGATGTTGTGGCGCTAGGTATGTCTTCGTAGAATTGTTCTATCTCTTCTTCTTCAGCTGTAGCTATATATGTATAGATATTTGCCATGTAAAGTAGGATACTTTTGGAGAAATATTACGCATTTCTGATATATTATTTTTCAGTTTTTTATGAATTAAAAACGCTACTTCTGCTAGGTTACTATTATTGGTCGTGGTACTTGCGGTATGGTACAAAGTATTTTCAGACGGTTACTTGGTGCAAATTTTTGCTTCCTTCTGACTTCGTACAAGCTCAGCACATTCCAATTTTTGCCCGCGATTTCTTCTTCTAATTCAATGAGGCTTGTACATTGTACGTTGCGATAATTATGTTCCTTAGGCAGCTTTTCCTGACCCGGAGATTGTTAGCACCCTCTAGTCGTCTACAGGATTGGTCACTGCCGTAACGAGCTAAAAAAAAGATATGTCTCATTGAAATTTTTTTATCATATAGTTTTTGAGAAAACAAATGAGTGGGTCAGAAGTAAAGTGAACCAAGTCCACTTAAGTTCGTTTGGAGAAAACGGACCGTTTGATTTCGATCCATTTACTAATTTTTTGTAATAGGCAACGAAATTTTTAAAGTTGATATTTTTTATAAATAAGTATCTACACTATTGTTACTTAGGTGTTATTTAAAAGAAACTTTATTATTTTAGCTATACAACCGGTTAAAAGAAAGAAATGTGGACTTAGTTTACTTTTACTCTGATTTTTTTTACCGCAATTCGATCAAGTCCAACTATTAATACGGTGTGAAAAAGTAATAACAATTTCTTTTATAGAAACATTTTTCTTAAAGAAAATGTAAGAAAAGTAGTACAGTTTATAGGAGTTAACCTCACAAAAGAAATTAAAATACTAGAAAAAACAACAATTTTATTCATAACGTATGTGCACAATCATTCATAAATAACGTCATATTGTTCGGTGTCATTACACTCCTCTGGAATTTCACTCGATCTAGTATTCGTTTGAACAGGTAATGACTTATAAAAGTTGTGGTAGATTGGAGGTATGAAAGGAAGTAATGAAATCATATCTTTTTTCTTAATATCAGTTATACGGCGCCTAGCGTTGTAGAGCGGTTTTTGATCTATTGATGCCAACGAAGAAAGATTTCTACCATTTTTGTTGTTTCTTTTTATGTTAATTTCTTTGAATGGAAGTAAGTTATCAGCTGTGTCCTTATAAAATATTGAAAATGGGTGTCCTCTTTTGAACTGAAGTCGTTGAATCTTCAACCAATTTACAGGTTCTTTGTTGGTATTTATTTTTCTATTAGTAATGTGCTCTAATAAATCTTTGGTTGACAAAAAATCATTGAATTTAAGCTCAGTGACCTTATATGGCGTTTTCTTTCTTGAGCTTTTAATTATTTTAATCCAGTCATCTGGGCCATAAAGCAGTGAGTGTTTACTATTTTTTTCTATGACACCAAAATCCGCGTCATTTGGCAGATAGGAATGCCCAGATATCATGAATATCACATTAATTGTCTTGGCTGCAGTAGACGCTTCATTGCACAGCTTCAGTAATTGCACTGATAAATTAATATTTCGATTTTGCCCTCCGCAAGTGTCGCAGTATAAAGTTATTTCAGTACAATTTTTAGCGTTATTTTTTAAATGCTTGTAAAGCACTGTAGATATTTCTTGCGAACCCCTGCCTCCCTCTGTTTCATTCCATACAAACATTTCAGGTGGTCCGGAATTAATTGGATGAACACCGCAATTATACATGTACAAATTTCGTTTATAATAAGCGACGGACGTGGTTAGTTTTGGAAATGCTAGAGCCTTCTGCAAGTCAAATGTACAAGCATAATAATTTTCTGAAACTTGTGAAGCCTCATTCTTCAACTCATTTCTAATTTTTTCTGCTTGAGACAAATGCATTTTTCTTTCAGTCTCTATTTTTGTTATAATAGATAGATCCTTTTCTGAAGCCAAAGCAATATTCCATTGGTCACATTTCTTGCATGTGTCTTTGTAGGGTATTTTAAAATGCAAATTATACTTTGTAGTGAAAACATTATAGTAATATTTTTCCTTACATGGAATTTTTCCTTCTAATTGACATTTTCTTTATTGACAATTCGGA